ACCCGTGGGTTTCCGAGACTAACTGGTAGTTTCAAATTGCTCTCCTTAAGGTTAGCAGCCCAACTTGAAACCACTGAGCTACCAGGGCTCCCTGGCTCTGAGATCAGGCTGTGGATGTTTAAGAAGAAGAGGGTGGCAATCCAGAACAGGGTAACTCCGTCCAGAAACGAAAGAGGACTGTGCTGCGGGTAGAGGGAGGTGGCGCTCAGAATAGGCACCCTAAGATGGGGTGAAGGGAGGTCTAAGATCCAGAGAGAATGAAGAAAGAGGGGCCGGGGTCAGGGTGCAGTGGGACACCGGACACCTGTACTCGGTGCCGGTGCAAGCGGAACATGCTGACACCCTTCAACAGAGACCTCTGGCTGTTGCTGCGGCCAAGGGGGGGGTTGCTACTTGAGACAAATTAGACCTAGGAGCAGGCCAAAGAGACCAAGGAGTTGTAATCCTACAAAGGACTTGGTGTCATTTTTTATAATATAAAAACGATGGTGAGATTACCATAAATCTCAGAGTAAGTAACAGACAGAATACAAAGCTCCAAATAGTATGGGAGCCAAGGCAAAATTTACTCTGTGAAACCTCTGTGTATTTTAGGGAAATCCGTGAGCCTCCATTGTTATTGAAGCAGAAAGCAGAATAAATACTGGCTGTAAATGTAATTGGCATAGAACATACGTAATAAAGCAAATCAAATCTCAGCTAAGTTTCCCTTAATCTTACTACTCTAAAATGGGAAATGCTGCTTATAAGACATAAAGCCAGTGATATTAAGTTTGATCCAGCTTCACAAGAGAAGACAAAAATGGGAATTTCGTTGGAAGTAAATAGTTAAAGATTTATTCTTGAAATCTTTCCCAAAGAGATTGTTTTGTTGAAAGTAAAACACCACTGGTTCTCTAATGCACTGGCTGCTCCAGGTCAATCTTCTCTTCGCTATAGGCTTTGGGTGTTTGCCTACCTTTCTTGTAACACTCTGAAGTCCTTGCAGGACAGTGCCCAGTGCACCCACTAGGTGTAATTTTTTATCTCAGTCTTAACAGATGTTCAAGGACCTGCTTCTTCATGTACTTAATGTTGAGGAAAGCGGAGTCTCTGTGTTTAAAAACATCTCCTTCATGCTGACATAATTAAAACTATGAAACATGGAACTCTCTGACCTGAGCACAGTTACTTATGTAGCTGAGGAAATAGCTGACACGTTTTTTCTATAAAACTTAACATGCAAAACAAAATAGAGGGATATATATATAATGGGCTGAGTTTGCTTATTTGGATTTAAAGATCAGCTAAAATTAACCTATGATCTTCAATCTCGCTATTTTGAAGCTTGTTTCTCAAGAAGCCTTTCCTTTATTAATTACCTATTTGATGCATGGTACTGTGCTTGATATAGTTACTTGATAAATGTGCTTAAGGAGTGAAAAGCAGGAAATGCCTAGAACATATCAGCCATTTATAAGTAAGTACAATGGTGGAACAGTGGTTAAGGACTTGACTGATAACCCAAAGGTTGTCGGTTCAAATCCACTAGTTGCTCCGTGGAAGAGCAATGTGGTGGAGTACTCTCTATAGATTTACAGGCTTAGAAACCGTATAGGGCACTTCTACTCTGTCCTGTAGGGTCGCTTTGAGCATCTATGTGGTTTGGTTTGAGCAATGGGACTAGAGGAGTTGTAGGGTGATGTCAGTCAGGGATCTTAGGAGTTAAGCAAGCCCTCAGCCATGAGGAAGCTATGGACATGGGTGGGCTTAGGAGCACATGAAAACCACCTGGTGTGAAGATGAGCTATGTTGAGAGCCAAAGGCAGTGAGCATCAGAAGTCAGGTGGGAGGCAGTTGATCGGACCCTCATTGCATAGAACCAAGGGCATAGTGAGTGAGGTCAGGGGAAGCCCCCAGTGAGCAGCCAGCCTGAGGGAGGCTTACAGTCGCCCTGGCCAATGGC